TTAGCTTCGCTTAACTTCGCTTTGCTTAGCTTCGCTTTGCTTAGCTTCGCTTCGCTTTGCTTAGCTTCGCTTAGCTTCGCTTAGCTTCGCTTAGCTCGTTTAGCTTCCCTTGGCTTTGCTTCGCTTCTCTTCGCTAAGCTTCTCTTCGCTTTGCTTGGCTTCGCTTAGCTTCGCTTTGCTTCGCTTAACTTCGCTTAGATTCGCTTGGCTTTGCTTCGCTTCGCTTAGCTTTGCTTCGCTTCGCTTAGCTTCACTTCGCTTCGCTTAGCTTCGCTTCGCTTCGCTTAGCTTCGATTAGCTTCGCTTCGCTTCGCTAAGCTTCTCTTAGCTTCGCTTTGCTTCGCTTATCTTCGCTTTGCTTCGCTTAACTTCGCTTAGATTCGCTTGGCTTTCCTTCGCTTCACTTAGCTTTGCTTCGCTTCGCTTAGCTTCACTTCGCTTCGCTTAGCTTCGCTTCGCTTCGCTTAGCTTCGCTTAGCTTCGCTTCGCTTCGCTAAGCTTCTCTTAGCTTCGCTTTGCTTCGCTTATCTTCGCTTTGCTTCGCTTCGCTTCTCTTCGCTTCGCTTCTAATAGCTTCGCTTAGCTTCGCTTCACTTCGCATAGCTTCGCTTTGCTTCTCTTCACTTCTCTTCGCTTCGCTTCGCTTAGCTTCGCTTTGCTTCCCTTAGCTTTGCTTCGCTTAGCTTCGCTTAGCTTCGTTTCCCTTCGCTTCGCATAACTTCGCTTAGCTTCACTTCGATTCCCTTAGCTTCGCTTAGCTTCGCCTCACTTAGCTCAGCTTCGCTTCGCTTCGCTTCGCTTCTCTTAGCTTCGCTTAGCTTCGCTTCGCTTTGCTTAGCTTCGCTTCGCTTCTCTTCACTTCTTTTAGTTTCGCTTCGCTTCGATAAGCTTCACTTAGCTTCGTGTTCGCTTTGCTTAGCTTCTCTTCACTTCACATCGCTTAGCTTCGCTTAGCTTCATGTTCGCTTTGCTTAGCTTCGCTTCGATTAGCTTCGCTTGGCTTCCTGTTCGCTTCGCTTAGCCTCGCTTCGCTTAGATTCGCTTCCCTTCGCTTAGCTTTGCTTCGCTTCGCTTAGCTTCGCTTTGCCTCGCTTAGCTTCGCTTAGCTTCTCTTAGCTTCGCTTCGCTTTGCTTAGCTTTGCCTAGCTTCGCATAGCTTTGCTTCGCTTCGCTTTGCTAAGCTTTGCTTCGTTTCACTTTGCTTCACTTCGCTTCGCTTAGCTTCGCTTCGCTTCGCTTAGTTTCGCTTCGCTTTGCTTAGCTTTGCTTCGCTTAACTTCGCTTTGCTTCGCTTCGCTTTGCCTAGCTTCACTTCGCTTCGCTTAGCTTCGCTTCGCTTCCCTTAGCTTCGGCTCGCTTCCCTTAGCTTCGCTTCGCTTCGCTTCGCTTCGCTTCGCTTCGCTTCGCTTTGCATAACTACGCTTTGCTTTGCTTTGCTTTTCTTAGCTTCGCTTCTCTATGCTTGTCTTCGCTTCGCTTTGGTAAGCTTCCCTTCGCTTCGCTTTGCTTCGCTTTGCTTCGCTTTGCTTCGCTTCGCTTCGCTTAGCTTCAATTTGCTTCGCTTCGCTTAGCTTCGCTTCGCTTCACTTCGCTTCGCTTCGCTTCTCTTAGCTTCGCTTAGCTTCGCTTTGCTTAGCTTCGCTTTGCCTCTCTTCGCTTCTCTTTGCTTCGCTTCGCTTAGCTTTGCTTAGCTTCGCTACGCTTCGCTTAGCTTCGCTTCGCTTCGCTTCTCTTAGCTTCACTTAGCTACGCTTTGCTTAGCTTCGCTTTGCCTCTCTTCGCTTCTCTTCGCTTAGCTTCGCTTAGCTTCGCTTCGCTTCGCTTCTCTTAGCTTCGCTTAGCTACGCTTTGCTTAGCTTCGCTTTGCCTCTCTTCGCTTCTCTTCGCTTCGCTTCGCTTAGCTTCGCTTCGCTTCTAATAGCTTCGCTTAGCTTCGCTTCACTTCGCATAGCTTCGCTTTGCTTCTCTTCACTTCTCTTCGCTTCGCTTCGCTTAGCTTCGCTTTTCTTCCCTTAGCTTTGCTTCGCTTAGCTTCGCTTAGCTTCGTTTCCCTTCGCTTCGCATATCTTCGCTTAGCTTCACTTCGATTCCCTTAGCTTCGCTTAGCTTCGCCTCACTTCGCTTAGCTTCGCTTCGCTTCGCTTCGCTTCTCTTAGCTTCGCTTAGCTTCGCTTCGCTTTGCTTAGCTTCGCTTCGCTTCTCTTCACTTCTTTTAGTTTCGCTTCGCTTTGATAAGCTTCACTTAGCTTCGTGTTCGCTTCGCTTAGCTTCTCTTCACTTCACATCGCTTAGCTTCGCTTAGCTTCATGTTCGCTTTGCTTAGCTTCGCTTCGATTAGCTTCGCTTGGCTTCCTGTTCGCTTCGCTTAGCCTCGCTTCGCTTAGATTCGCTTCCCTTCGCTTAGCTTTGCTTCGCTTCGCTTAGCTTCGCTTTGCCTCGCTTAGCTTTGCTTAGCTTCTCTTAGCTTCGCTTCGCTTTGCTTAGCTTCGCCTAGCTTCGCATAGCTTTGATTCGCTTCGCTTTGCTAAGCTTTGCTTCGTTTCACTTTGCTTCACTTCGCTTCGCTTAGCTTCGCTTCGCTTCGCTTAGTTTCGCTTCGATTTGCTTAGCTTTGCTTCGCTTAGCTTCGCTTTGCTTCGCTTCGCTTTGCCTAGCTTCACTTCGCTTCGCTTAGCTTCGCTTCGCTTCCCTTAGCTTCGGCTCGCTTCCCTTAGCTTTGCTTCGCTTCGCTTCGCTTTGCATAACTACGCTTTGCTTTGCTTTGCTTTTCTTAGCTTCGCTTCTCTATGCTTCTCTTCGCTTCGCTTTGGTAAGCTTCCCTTCGCTTCGCTTTGCTTCGCTTTGCTTCGCTTCGCTTCGCTTAGCTTCAATTTGCTTCGCTTCGCTTAGCTTCGCTTCGCTTCACTTCGCTTCGCTTCGCTTCTCTTAGCTTCGCTTAGCTTCGCTTTGCTTAGCTTCGCTTTGCCTCTCTTCGCTTCTCTTTGCTTCGCTTCGCTTAGCTTTGCTTAGCTTCGCTACGCTTCGCTTAGCTTCGCTTCGCTTCGCTTCTCTTAGCTTCGCTTAGCTACGCTTTGCTTAGCTTCGCTTTGCCTCTCTTCGCTTCTCTTCGCTTAGCTTCGCTTAGCTTCGCTCGCTTCGCTTCTCTTAGCTTCGCTTAGCTACGCTTTGCTTAGCTTCGCTTTGCCTCTCTTCGCTTCTCTTCGCTTCGCTTCGCTTAGCTTCGCTTCGCTTCGCATACCTGCGCTTAGCTTCTCTTAGCTACGCTTAGCTCTCTATGCTTCTCTTCGCTTCACTTCGCTTAGCTTCCCTTCGCTTCTCTTCGCTTCTCTTAGCTTCGCTTTGCTTCGCTTCGCTTCGCTTTACTTCGCTTAGCTTCGCTTCGCTTCGCTTCTCTTAGCTTCGCTTCGCTTAGCTTCGCTTTGCCTCTCTTCGCTTCTCTTTGCTTCGCTTCACTTAGCTTTGCTTAGCTTCGCTTCGCTTCGCTTCTCTTAGCTTCGCTTAGCTACGCTTCGCTTAGCTTCGCTTTTCCTCTCTTCGCTTCTCTTCGCTTAGCTTCGCTTAGCTTCGCTTCGCTTCGCTTAGCTTTGCTTCGCTTCGCTTAGCTTCGCTACGCTTAGCTTCGCTTAACTTCGCTTCGCTTAGCTTCGCTTTGCTTAGCTTCGCTTCGCTTCGCTTAGCTTCGCTTAGCTCGTTTAGCTTCCCTTGGCTTTGCTTCGCTTCTCTTAGCTAAGCTTCGCTTAGCTTTGCTTGGCTTCGCTTTGCTTCGCTTAACTTCGCTTACATTCGCTTGGCTTTGCTTCGCTTCGCTTAGCTTCGCTTCGCTTCGCTTAGCTTCGCTTCGCTTCACTTAGGTTCGCTTAGCTTCGCTTCGCTTCGCTTCGCTTCGCTTAGCTTCGCTTAGCTTCGCTTCGCTTCGCTAAGCTTCTCTTAGCTTTGCTTTGCTTCGCTTATCTTTCCTTTGCTTCGCTTAGCTTTGCTTCACTTCGCATAGCTTCGCTTTGCCTCTCTTCGCTTCTCTTCGCTTCACTTCGCTTAGCTTTGCTTCGCTTCGCTTTGCTTCCCTTAGCTTCGCTTCGCTTAGCTTCGCTTAGCTTCGTTTCCCTTCGCTTCGCTTAGCTTCGCTTCGCATAACTTCGCTTAGCTTCACTTCGATTCCCTTAGCTTCGCTTCGCTTCTCTTAGCTTTGTTAGGATTAAGGACGGAGTCTAGGTGAACTTAGGAGCTAGAATTACTCAAAATATAAATCCGAAATTCTGGACAGAAAAGTCGTCTTCACAAGAAACGACGTCGACGAAAACCTAGCCGTTGGAATGTCGCGAAACTTGGATATGTTGTAGCTCTTTATCTCAGCTACCGTTCCCAATTTGAATCATGTTGATTGATGAAGTATTCGCGACGCTATGGCTTTCGACGCATTAGGGGGTAAGCTGTAGGAGGAGAACTTAACTCAATCTCAAGAGTTCAATCAAAGTTCAAGAATCTCACAAGGAATTTGAAGAGAGGGATGAGAGGGAAGGTCCCAAGAGAGTCCCCAACCAAGGAAACCCCATAAGCACAAAGATTCCCTCCCTATAGGAACCCCAACTTTGACATTTGTCCCTTCCCAACCAATCCATCCAAGTTGGCCACCCTTGCCAACCTAGCTTGGTTGTTCCCAACCAATTTGCAGCTGTTACAGTAGAGTGACGAATTTCCCCAACCCCAAAGGTCCCAACTCCATATAAAGTCACCCCACAACTTCACTTTGTAACCGCCGCAATTGTAACGCAAGCTCATGAACTTTGAATCTTCATAGCTTTCGCGTTCTTGCTCCGATTGACGCGATTCTTGTTGCGTCGGAAAGATCTTCTCAAGATCTATCATCACAAATACCTGCTCAGACAGAATAACACAAAACACATTCCCAAACTCCAGAACACACACCACACAAATTCTTTCACACACAGTCAAACCATACGTGCGAATTGAAACAAGGGATGGGAGGCAGACAGAATGTGATAACATATGATGACATCACACAACAATCTCCCCCTCTGGCTGCCAACCATCAACCACCATACCAACATCTCAAGCATGCATACTCAATGCACACTCATCCCAGCAAGCTTCATGCCCTTCCAATGATCCGCCTCCGCCAGACGCTTGGTGAAAATATCTGCTGCCTGCTGATGGGTCTTCACTATCTCCAGCCGCACCTCCTTATCAAGGAGTCTCCTCACCCAGTGCCACTTAGGCCTTATGTGTTTTGTCAGCCCATGCAAACAAGCATTCTTGGCGAGCTTCACAGCAGACTCATTGTCACAGAACACAACTGTCGGCTCCTCCTGACCAACTCCCAACTCCTCCAACAAACGCCTTAGCCACACTACTTCCTTGGCCCCATGGTGTAAGGCCATGTACTCAGTCTCACATGAGGACAATCCCACCTCATTCTGCTTCTTGCTGCGCCAGCTCACAGCACCACCTCCTAGCAAGCACACATAACCCCCAATGCTGGTGCCATCCGCTTTCACTGAGTTGAAGCTAGCGTCAGTATAGCAACTCAAGAGCATCTCACCACTCTTCACATCTGCAGCACCTCTCTGCAACCGCTGCCTCACTCCACTGTACTCCAATCCCACTGATGCCGTAGCACTCACATAGCGGACCAACCTCTTGGCCGCTTCCAGCTGCTCATGACTAGGGCGTGAGACCACACTAGCCAACCGTGATGTAGAAAATGCAATGTCAGGCCGTGTATGATTTGCAGCATAATTCAGCGACCCAACCATCGAATGAAACAGCTTCCTGTCACTCTCACCCACTACCTCCTCATCAGCACATGGCTCCACAGTAAACCCTGAAGGTAGTGGTGTTGCTGGCTTTCCCCCATCTTGCAGCCCATACTTCTCAGCCAGCCCCTCACAGTACTTCCTCTGGTGCAACCTCAGCACACCCTTCTCCACATCTCTCTCCACATGCATCCCCAAGTAGTACTTCACCTCACCCATCTTGGAACACTTGAACTGCATCTCTAGCATCTGCTCTGCGCTGTCCAGCAAAGCAGTTGATGCAGAAAAGAGAAGGATATCATCCACGTACACCAAGAGCATGAGGATTTCATCCTTCTCCTGCAGCAGGAACAGGCTGGGGTCACACTCACTCTTCTTGAAACCCCCAGCCAGCAGCGCCTCCTCCAACTTGTGATACCATGCACGAGGCGCCTGCTTAAGGCCATAGATGGCCTTCTTCAGCCTGCAGACCCTGCCGCTCCCATCATCCAGCCCCTCTGGCTGCTTCATATACACCTCCTCCAGAATGATCCCATTCAGAAAGGCAGTCACAATGTCCATCTGCCGTATCTTCCATCCCAGGAGTGCAGCTATCGCCAACAGCACCCTCAGTGTTGTTCCTTTCCCCACAGGAGCAAACACCTCATCATAGTCCTTCCCTTTTGTCTGCTGAAACCCCCTTGCCACAAGCCTAGACTTGTATCGGGTCAGCTCCCCTTCAGGTCCATACTTGTGCCTGTAGATCATCTTGGAAGTGATTGCCTTCTTTCCAGGAGGCAAGTCACACAGGTCCCATGTCTCGTTCTCAATCAGGGACCCAAACTCCTCATCCTCACTCGCCTTCCACTTCTCCCCATTTGGTCCATTCAAGGCCTCTTCTCGAGTCTTGGGCTCAGGGATTGGTGCCCAGTAGCAGTGAGCGATCTCATCTTCCTCAATCTGCTCAACCACACTCCCAGCCTGCACCACATTCGGCTTGCCTCTTCCCCCATAGGTCAGCCTCACTGGAGGGCGCACATCCCTCCTAGGACGCTCAGGCGGGTGTGGAACTCGAGGTGGAGACTCATGCTGCTGCTGCTGCTGCTCTACTTCAGCTGCTCCCCCTTCCTCAGTCACCCCAGACATCTCCTCCTCTGACACTGCAACCTCTACCTGTCTTGAAGGCCGCTGCACCTCATCCGCCTCCACAATGAGCGGTGTAGATGGAAGCTTCTGTTGCTGCTGCTTCCATTCCTTGTAGTACAGGGACTCAAGAAACTTCACATCCCTTGACACTGTCAACTTCTGGGTGGTCAAGTCCCATAGCAGCCACCCCTTGTGATCCTTTGCAATCCCCAAGTGCACACCCCATCTTCCAGAAGCCTCCAACTTCCCCCTTTTCTCCTTAGGCACATGAAACACCACCATGCACCCAAATGCCCTCAGCATGTTCACAGCTGGAGCACTCCCATACCACTTGACGTATGGGATCCACTCCTTATCTCCAACTGTAGCCAGCACCCTGTTCTTCACAAGGGCGACCTGCCTCAGTGCAGACACCCAAAACGGATCAGGCAGCCCTGCACGCCCAAGGAGAGTGCGTGCCCCCTCCTGCAGGGTCCTGTTGAACCTCTCAGCCACGCCATTCTGCTGTGGGTTGTAGGGCACTGTCAGTTGATGCTGGATCCCCTTCCTCTTCAACTCCCCCTCAAAATCAGCTCCAATGAACTCCCCACCATTGTCACTACGGATCACCTTCACCTTGTGTCCGCATTCCCTCTGAGCTCTCGGCATCCACTCCTTAAGGACAGCCGCTGCCACCTCCCCCTTGCTGTTCAAAGGGTAAACCCACACTGCTCGAGTGTGGTCATCCACAATTGTCAAGAAATAGCGGCTGCCTGAGAGGGAAGGGGCTCTTGTGGGCCCCACCACATCCATGTGCACAAGTGCAAGTGGGGTCTTGGCTGGTCCTGTAGTGCTGTTGAAGGGGAACTTGGAGAACTTGGTCTCCAAGCATGTAGGGCAGCTCCCAATCTCCTTCACTCCCCCTTTCACCTCCAAGCCTTTCAGGCTCCCATCCTTTACCAACTTCTGTAGCATAGGGAAGTTCACATGACACAGCCTCTCATGCCATGTCTCCCAATCGGCCTCTCCACTCTTTGATGAAGCCTTAGCCCATGCCGCACTCGCATCCACACCAGCAAGCACCTCACCATGTCTCTGCTGCTGCTGCACTTTCTTGACTGCTTCCAGGACCCCATCAGTTGGTGCAGTTGCATCTCCTCCTGCTGTTGCCTTTGCCGCTGCTGCCGTTGCTGCTGTTGGAGTCTTCCCATTCCATGGGATGATGGGCAGCTGCCACAGGTCCTTGATGCAACTGGTCTCCTCTTCCAGACTCCATAGCACCTTCTTCCCAAGCTTAGCACGGCAGCTGGTTGGTCCAAAGGTCACTTCGGCCTTGCTCTTCTGCAGTCGTCGCACAGAGAGAAGGTTAGCAGACAAGCCTTTAACCAGCAGAACATTCCCAAGCCCCACAAGCTCCCCATTAGCTCCCTTAACCTTGGCATTTCCAACACCAATGACAGGGAGCAAAGCACCTGACGCTGCTGCCACATACTTGATCTTCCCAGGGGGTTTTACCTCATCAAGCAAATCTGCCCGTGGGGTCATGTGACTGGTGCAACCCGAATCAATCACCCAGTGCGTGAGAGGGTGCATCACAACCTTTCCCACAGATCCCACATCACCCTCATGCCCATGCACATCCTCAACCATAACAAACAAACCAGGATAGGCATTACCTTGTGCACCTTCACCTTGTGCACCTGAGCCTTGCACAGCGCCACCTTGTGCGCGTTCACCACTGGGCGGCTTCATGCCTGGAGGTGCCCATCCCTCCAGCCTGCTGAAGCACTTGAACCAAGGATGCCCAACCTTCTTGCAGTACCAGCACGTGCCCTCCATTCTGGTACTCCCCCTGCCACTAGAGCTCCCATGCCCCTCATTATAGTCACCTCGGCCTCTACCTCTGCCAAAGCTCCTCCCACGGCCTCGGCCTTTCCAACCCCCTCTTCCTCTGCCGCGCCCTGCAGCTCCATACCCCTCAGCAGTCTTAGTGGCAGCACCGCCTCCCACATGGCGTCTGCGGAAGTCCTCCTGCAGAATCTGCTGCCTTAGCCACTCAGGTGTCCATTGATCTTGCTGAGAGTTGAGGGTGGGGATGAGGTTATCCCACGAGTTGTCCAACACCGAGATGATCTTGGTGCACTGCTGCAGCTGAGATACACTGCTGCCCGCTGCTGCCATCCTTGCATAGGTGTCCTTGATCTTGTCAAGGACCGGCTTCACATCGTCCCCTGGTCGCATGGAGATGGCAGCAAGTTCCTTCTCGAGCACGATCACCATCAGGAGAGTGTTGGGCTGAATCACATCGCGTAGTAGTTTCCACGCCCTTGGACCCGAATCATCCGCTTCCACAAGATCCTTGATGTGCTCGAACATCTCCTTGTTGACCGATTGAAGGATGAGGTCGAAAAGCACCGTGCTTTTCTCAATCCACCGTTCACGTGCTTCGCCTTCTTCCGGCATCTTCTCTTCCCCAACAGCAATCTTCAGTAGCTTGTAGCGTTTGAAGGCACTTCTCATCCGTCCGCTCCATTCCTCATAGTTGGAGCCATCCAAAGCTTCAACTTTTGATGGCGGCGGTTCACTTGTCTTCTCAGCTACAGCTCCTCTTCCATTAGCATCTCCTCCTCTCTCATTCATCTTCTCCTTGAGAAATGACGAATTTCAGCCCCCCTTTGCTGTCCACACTCAGCTCCCTCGATATTTTCACAAGTGTCGGCGTCCACGAAATTTCGGCAGAGTTTCCCTTAGCGGAAGACACATCCAACCTTTAGAACACCACTTAGGCACACCCACAGGCCATGGTGGGTCTAGAAGGGTCTTCACACTTCTGTAGACTCCTCTCAACGTCCTTAATACAGCTCTGATGCCACTTGTTAGGATTAAGGACGGAGTCTAGGTGAACTTAGGAGCTAGAATTACTCAAAATATAAATCCGAAATTCTGGACAGAAAAGTCGTCTTCACAAGAAACGACGTCGACGAAAACCTAGCCGTTGGAATGTCGCGAAACTTGGATATGTTGTAGCTCTTTATCTCAGCTACCGTTCCCAATTTGAATCATGTTGATTGATGAAGTATTCGCGACGCTATGGCTTTCGACGCATTAGGGGGTAAGCTGTAGGAGGAGAACTTAACTCAATCTCAAGAGTTCAAGCAAAGTTCAAGAATCTCACAAGGAATTTAGAGGAGCAAGAGAAAGGTTGGGATAGAAGAGAGGGATGAGAGGGAAGGTCCCAAGAGAGTCCCCAACCAAGGAAACCCCATAAGCACAAAGATTCCCTCCCTATAGGAACCCCAACTTTGACATTTGTCCCTTCCCAACCAATCCATCCAAGTTGGCCACCCTTGCCAACCTAGCTTGGTTGTTCCCAACCAATTTGCAGCTGTTACAGTAGAGTGACGAATTTCCCCAACCCCAAAGGTCCCAACTCCATATAAAGTCACCCCACAACTTCACTTTGTAACCGCCGCAATTGTAACGCAAGCTCATGAACTTTGAATCTTCATAGCTTTCGCGTTCTTGCTCCGATTGACGCGATTCTTGTTGCGTCGGAAAGATCTTCTCAAGATCTATCATCACAAATACCTGCTCAGACAGAATAACACAAAACACATTCCCAAACTCCAGAACACACACCACACAAATGCTTTCACACACAGTCAAACCATACGTGCGAATTGAAACAAGGGATGGGAGGCAGACAGAATGTGATAACATATGATGACATCACACAACAAGCTTCGCTTAGCTTCGCTTCGCTTTGCTTAGCTTCGCTTCGCTTCTCTTTGCTTCTTTTAGTTTCGCTTCGCTTCGATTAGCTTCGCTTAGCTTCGTGTTCGCTTCGCTTAGCTTCTCTTCACTTCGCTTCGCTTAGCTTCTCTTCACTTCGCTTCGCTTAGCTTCGCTTCGCTTCGCTTAGCTTCATGTTCGCTTTGCTTAGCTTCGCTTCGATTAGCTTCGCTTAGCTTCCTGTTCGCTTCGCTTAGCCTCGCTTCGCTTAGCTTCGCTTCCCTTCGCTTAGCTTTGCTTCGCTTTGCTTAGCTTCGCTTTGCCTCGCTTAGCTTCGCTTAGCTTCTCTTAGCTTTGCCTCTCTTCGCTTCTCTTCGCTTCGCTTCGCTTAGCATCGCTTAGCTTCGCTTCGCTTCGCTTAGCTACGCTTAGTTTCGCTTAGCTTCGCTTAACTTCGCTTTGCTTTGCTTAGCTTCGCTTTGCTTAGCTTCGCTTTGCTTCGCTTAGCTTCTCTTCGCTTCGCTTAGTTTCGTTTAGCTTCGCTTGGCTTTGCTTCGCTTCGCTTTGCTTAGCTTCGCTTTGCTTCGCTTAGCTTCGCTTCTCTTAGCTTCGGTTTGCTTCCCTAAGCTTCACTTCGCTTCGCTTAGCTTCGCTTCGCTTCGCATAGCTGCGCTTAACTTCGTTTTGCTTCTCTTAGCTTCGCTTCTCTTTGCTACGCTTCTCTTTGCTCCTCTTCGCTTCGCTTCGCTTAGCTTCGCTTCGCTTCACTTAGCTTCGCTTAGCTTCACTTAGCTTCGCTTAGATTCGCTTAGCTTCGCTTCGCTTGGCTTAGCTTCCCTTTGCTTCGCTTAGCTTTGCTTCGCTTAGCTTCCCTTAACTTTGCTTTGCTTCGCTTAGCTTCGCTTTGCTTAGCTTCGCTTAGCTTCGCTTTGCTTAGCTTCGCTTCGCTTCGCTTCGTTTCTCTTCGCTTAGCTTCGCTTAGCTTCGCTTCGATTTGCTTAGCTTCGCTTAGATTCGCTTAGCTTCGCTTCGCTTCGCTTCCCTTAGCTTCAGTTTGCTTCCCTTAGCTTCACTTCGCTTCGCTAAGCTTAGCTAAGCTTAGCTAAGCTTTGCTTCGTTTCACTTTGCTTCGCTTAGCTTCGCCTAGCTTCATTTCGCTTCGCTTCGCTTCCCTTAGCTTCGGTTCGCTTCCCTTAGCTTCGCTTCGGTTCGCTTCGCTTCGCATACCTGCGCTTAGCTTCGCTTTGCTTTTCTTAGCTTCGCTTCTTTTCGCTTCGCTCTCTATGCTTCTCTTCGCTTCGCTTCGCTTAGCTTCCCTTCGCTTCTCTTCGCTTCTCTTCGCTTCTCTTAGCTTTGCTTTGCTTCGCTTCGCTTAGCTTCGCTTCGCTTCACTTCGCTTAGCTTCGCTTCGCTTCTCTTAGCTTCGCTTAGCTTTGCTTTGCCTCTCTTCGCTTCTCTTTGCTTCGCTTCGCTTAGCTTTGCTTAGCTTCGCTTCGCTTGTCCTAGCTTCGCTTAGCTACGCTTCGCTTTGCCTCTCTTCGCTTCTCTTCGCTTCGCTTCGCTTAGCTTCGCTTCGCTTCGCTTAGCTTTGCTTCACTTAGCTTCGCTACGTTTAGCTTCGCTTCGCTTTGCTTAACTTCGCTTTGCTTTGCTTAGCTTCGCTTTGCTTAGCTTCGCTTCGCTTCGCTTCGCTTAGCTCGTTTAGCTTCGCTTGGCTTTGCTTCGCTTCTCTTCGCTTACCTTCGCTTAGCTTTGCTTGGCTTCGCTTAGCTTTGCTTTGCATCGCTTAACTTCGCTTAGATTCGCTTGGCTTTGCTTCGCTTCGCTTTGCTTTGCTTCGCTTCGCTTAGCTTCGCTTCGCTTCGCTTAGCTTTGCTTAGCTTAGGTTCGCTTCCCTTAGCTTCGGTTCGCTTCCCATAGCTTCACTTCGCTTCGCTTAGCTTCGCTTAGCTTCGCTTCGCTTTGCTTCGTTTTGCTTCTCTTTGCTACGCTTCTCTTTGCTTCTCTTCGCTTCGCTTCGCTTCGCTTCGCTTCGCTTCGCTTTGCTTCGTTTTTCTTCGCTTAGATTCGCTTTGCTTTGCTTTGCTTCGCTTAGCTTCGCTTAGATTCGCTTAGCTTCGCTTCGCTTCGCTTAGCTTCCCTTTGCTTCGCTTAGCTTCGCTTTGCTTAGCTTCCCTTAACTTTGCTTTTCTTCGCTTAGCTTTGCTTTGCTTAGCTTCGCTTAGCTTCTCTTCGCTTCGCTTCGCTTCTCTTCGCTTAGCTTCGCTTTGCTTCGCTTCGCTTCGCTTAGCTTCGCTTAGATTCGCTTCGCTTTGCTTAGCTTTGCTTCGTTTCGCTTAGCTTCACTTTGCTTAGCTTAGATTCGCTTCGCTTCGCTTCGTTTCGCTTAGCTTCGCTTCGCTTCCCTTAGCTTCAGTTCGCTTCGCTTCGCATAGCTGCGCTTAGATTTGCTTTGCTTCTCTTAGCTTCGCTTCTCTTCGCTTCGCTTCTCTTTGCTTCTGTTCGCTTTGCTTCGCTTAGCTTCGCTTAGATTTGTTGTGTGATGTCATCATATGCTATCACATTCTCTCTGCCTCCCATCCCATGTTTTCAACTTGCACGTATGGTTTGACAGTGCGTGAAAGAATTTGTGTGTGGTGTGTTCTGGAGTTTGGGAATGTGTTTTGTGTTTTTTTGTTTGAGCAGGTATTTTGTGATGATAGATCTTGAGAAGATCTTTCGGACGCAACAAGAATCGCTTCAATCGGAGCAAGAACGCGAAAGCTATGAAGATTCAAAGTTCATGAGCTTGCGTTACAATTGCGGCGGTTACAAAGTGAAGTTGTGGGGTGACTCTATATGGAGTTGTGACTATTGGGAGTTGGGGAAATTCGTCATTCTACTGTAGGAACTGCAAAATTGGTTGGGAACAACCAAGCTAGGTTGGCAAGGGTGGCCAACTTGGTTGGATTGGTTGGGAAGGGACAAATGTCAAAGTTGGGGTTCCTATAGGGAGGGAATCTTTGTGCTTATGGGGTTTCCTTGGTTGGTGACTCTCTTGGGACCTTCTCTCTCATCCCTCTCTTCCATCCCAACCTTTCTCTTGCTCCTCCAATTCCTTGTGAGATTCTTGAACTTTGATTGAACTTTTTTAGATTGAGTTAAGTTCTCCTCCTACAGCTTACCCCCCAGTGCGTCGAAAGACATAGCGTCCCAAATACTCCATCAATCGACATGACTCAAATTGAGAACGGTAGCTATGATTACAAGCTACAACATATCCGATTTTCGCGACATTCAAACAGCTAGTTTTTCGTCGACGTCGTTTCTTGTGAAGACGACTTTTCTGTCCAGAATTTCGTATTTATATTTTGAGTAATTCTAGCTCCTAAGTTCACCTAAACTCCGTCCTTAATCCTAACAAGTGGTATCAGAGCGATATTAAGGACATTAAGAGGAGTCTACAGAATTTTGAAGACTTTTCTAGACCTACCATGGCCTGTGGGTGTGCCTAAGTGGTGTTCTAAAGGTTGGATGTGTCTTCCGCTAAGGGGAAACTCTGCCGAAATTTCGTGGACGCCGACACTTGTGAAAATATCGAGGGAGCTGAGTGTGGACAGCAAAGGGGAGCTGAAATTCGTTATTTCTCAAGGAGAAGATGAATGAGAGAGGAGGAGATGCTAATGGAAGAGGAGCTGTACCTGAGAAGACAAGTGAGCTGCCGCCATCAAAAATTGAAGCTTTGGATGGCTCCAACTATGAGGAATGGAGCTGCAGGGCGCGGCAGAGGAAGAGGGGGTTGGAGAGGCCGAGGCCGTGGGAGGAGCTTTGGCAGAGGTAGAGGCCGAGGTGACTATAATGAGGGGCATGGGAGCTCTGGTGGTAGGGGGAGTACCAGAATGGAGGGCACCTGCTGGTACTGCAAGAAGGTCGGGCATCCTTGGTTCAAGTGCTTCAGCAGGCTGGAGGGATGGTCACCTCCAGGCATGAAGCCGCCAAGTGGTGAACGCGCACAAGGTGGCGCTGTGCAAGGCTCAGGTGCACAAGATGAAGGTGCACAAGGTAATACCTATCCTGGGATGTTTCTCATGGTTGAGGATGTGCATGGGCATGAGGGTGATGTGGGATCTGTAGGAAAGGTTGTGATGCACCCTCTCACGCACTGGGTGATTGATTCAGGTTGCACCAGTCACATGACCCCACGGGCAGATATGCTTGATGAGGTAAAACCCCCTGGAAAGATTAAGTATGTGGCAGTAGCGTCAGGTGTTTTGCTCCCTGTGATTGGTGTTGGGAATGCCAAGGTTAAGGGAGCTAATGGGGAGCTTGTGGGGCTTGGGAATGTTCTGCTGGTTGAAGGTTTGTGTGCTAACCTTCTCTCTGTGCGGCGACTGCAGAAGAGCAAGGCCGAAGTGACCTTTGGACCAACCAGCTGCCGTGCTAAGCTTGGGAAGAAGGTGCTGTGGAGTCTGGAAGAGGAGACCAGCTGCATCAAGGACCTGTGGCAGCTGCCCATCATCCCTTGGAATGGGAAAACTCCAACAGCAGCAACGGCAGCAGCGGCAAAGGCAACAGCAGGAGGAGATGCAAATGCACCAACTGATGGGGTCCTGGAAGCAGTTAAGAAAGTGCAGCAGCAGCAGACACATTGTGAGGTGCTTGCTGGTGTGGATGCGAGTGCGGCATGGGCTAAGGCTTCATCAAGGAGTGGAGAGGCCGATTGGGAGACATGGCATGAGAGGCTGTGTCATGTGAACTTCCCTATGCTGTAGAAATTGGTGAAGGACGGGAGCCTGAAGGGCTTGGAGGTCAAGGGAGGAGTGAAGGAGATTGGGAGCTGCCCTACATGCTTGGAGACCAAGTTCTCTAAGTTCCCCTTCAACAGCACTACAGGACCAGCCAAGACCCCACTTGCACTTGTGCACATGGATGTGGTGGGGCCCACAAGAGCCCCTTCCCTCTCAGGCAACCGCTATTTCTTGACAATTGTGGATGACCACACTCGGGCAGTGTGGGTTTACCCTTTGAAGAGCAAGGGGGAGGTGGCAGCGGCTGTCCTTAAGAAGTGGATGCCTAGAGCTCAGAAGGAATGCGGACACAAGGTGAAGGTGATCCGCAGTGATAATGGTAGGGAGTTCATTGGAGCTGATTTTGAGGGGGAGTTGAAGAGGAAGGGGATCCAACATCAACTAACAGTGCCCTACAACCCGCAGCAGAATGGGGTGGCTGAGAGGTTCAACAGGACCCTGCAGGAGGGGGCACGCACTCTCCTTGGGCGTGCAGGGCTGCCTGATCCATATTGGGTGTCTGCACTGAGGCAGGTCACCCAAGTAAAGAACAGGGTGCTGGCTACAGTTGGGGATAAGAATTGGATCCCATATACCAAGTGGTATGGGAGTGCTCTAGTTGTGAAGCTAAGCAAAGTGAAGCTAAGCTCAGCATGTTCACAACTAGAGCACTCCCATACCACTTGGTATATGGGATCCACTCCTTATCCCCAACTGTAGCCAGCACCCTGTTCTTTACAAGGGCGACCTGCCTCAGTGCACTTATGCGTCACTTTGCTTAGCTTCGCTTAGCTTCGCTTTACTTCCCTTAGCTTCAGTTCGCTTCCCTTAGCTTCGCTTCGCTTCGCATAGCTGCGCTTAGATTCGCTTTGCTTCTCTTAGCTTCGCTTAGCTTCGCTTTGCTTTGCATACCTGCGCTTAGCTTCGCTTTGCTTCTCTTAGCTTTGCTTCTTTTCGCTTCGCTTCTCTATGCTTCCCTTCACTTCGCTTTGCTTCGCTTAGCTTCGCTTCGCTTCTCTTCGCTTCTCTTCGCTTCGCTTCGCTTAACTTCGCTTTGCTTCGCTTCGCTTAGCTTCGCTTCACTTAGCTACGCTTCGCTTCGCTTCTCTTAGCTTCGCTTGGCTTCGCTTCACTTCGCTTAGCCTCCCTTTGCCTCTCTTCGCTTATCTTTGCTTAGCTTTGCTTAGCTTCGCTTCGCTTTGCTTCGCTTAGCTTTGCTTAGCTTCGCTTCGCTTCCCTTAGCTTCGGTTCGCTTCCCTTAGCTTCCCTTAGCTTCGCTTAGCTTCGCTGCGCTTCGCATAGCTGCGCTTAGCTTTGCTTAGCTTCGCTGCGCTTCGCATAGCTGCGCTTAGCTTCTCTTTGCTTCTCTTCGCTTCGCTTCGCTTAGCTTCGCTTCGCTTAACTTCGCTTCGCTTCGCTTAGCTTCGCTTGGCTTCGCTTAGATTTGCTTAGCTTCGCTCAGCTTTGCTTTGCTTCGGTTAGCATCGCTTAGATTCGCTTAGCTTCACTTTACGTCGCTTAGCTTCCCTTAACTTCGCTTTGCTTCGCTTAGCTTCGCTTAGCTTCGATTTGCTTAGCTTCGCTTCACTTTGCTTAGCTTCACGTAGCTTCGCTTTGCTCCGCATAGCTGCGATAAGCTTCGCTTTGCTTCTCTTAGCTTTGCTTCGCTGCTCTTTGCTTCTCTTCGCTTCCCTTCGCTTAGCTTCACTTTGCTTCGCTTAGCTTTGCTTCACTTCGCTTCGCTTAATTTCGCTTTGCTTTGCTTAGCTTCGCTTTGAATAGCTTGGCTTAGCTTCGCTTCGCCTCGCTTAGCGTTGCTTGGCTTCGCTTAGCTGCGCTTGGCTTCGCTTCGCTTCGCTTAGCTTCGCTTAGCTTCACTTAGCTTTGCTTAGCTTCGCTTAGATTCGTTTCGCTTTGCTTCGCTTCCCTTAGCTTCGCTTTGCTTCGCTTCCCTTAGCTTCGGTTCGCTTCCCATAGCTTCACTTCGCTTCGCTTAGCTTCGCTTTGCTTCGCATCGCTTTGCATAGCTGCGCTTAGCTTCGTTTTGCTTCTCTTAGCTTCGCTTCTCTTCGCTCCGCTTCTCTTTGCTTCTCTTCGCCTCGCTTCTCTTCGCTTTGCTTCTCCTTGCTTCTCTTCGCTTCGCTTTGCTTAGGTTCGCTTCGCTAAGCTTCATTTCGCTTAACTTCGCTTCGCTTCGCTTAGCTTCGCTTCGCTTCGCTTAGCTTCGGTGAGCTTTGCTTTGCTTCGCATAGCTTCGCTTAGATTCGCTTAGCTTCGCTTCGCTTCGCTTAGCTTCACTTCGCTTCGCTTAGCTTCGCTTCTCTTAGCTTCGCTTAACTTCGCTTTGCTTTGCTTAGCTTCGCTTCGCTTCGCTTAGCATTGCTTCGCTTCTCTTCGCTTAGCTTCACCTAGCTTCGCTTTGCTTCGCTTCGCTTCGCTTAGTTCCGCTTAGATTCGCTTAGCATCACTTCGCTTCGCTTGGCTTTGCTTCCCTTCGCTTAGCTTCGCTTCGATTCACTTTCCTTAGCTTCGGTTCGCTTCTCTTCGCTTCGCTTCACTTCGCTTAGCTTCGCGTCGGTTCGCATAGCTTCGCTTCGCTTAGCTTAGCTTCGCTTAGCTTCGCTTAACTTTGCTTTGCTTTGCTTAGCTTTGCTTCGCTTAGCTTCGCCTCGCTTCGCTTAGCTTCGCCTCGCTTCGCTAAGCTTCCCCTCGCTTCGTTTAGCTTCGCTTAGCTTCTCTTAGCTTCGCTTCGCTTTCCTTTGCTTCGCTTCGCTTCACTTAGCTGTGCTTCGCTTCACTTCCCTTAGCTTTGGTTCACTTCCCTTAGCTTCGCTTCGCTTCGCTTAGCTTTGCTTCGCTTCGCTTCGCTTCGCATAACCTCGCTTAGCTTCGTTTCGATTCCCATAGCTTCGCTTAGCTTCGCCTCACTTCGCTTAGCTTCGCTTCGCTTCTCTTAGCTTCGCTTACCTTCGCTTAGCTTCTCTTCGCTTCTTTTAGCTTTGCTTAGCTTCATGTTCCCTTCGCTTCGATTAGCTTCACTTAGCTTCGTGTTCGCTTCTCTTAGCTTCTCTTCACTTCGCTTCTCTTAGCTTGGCTTAGCTTCATGTTCGCTTCGCTTAGCTTCGCTTCGATTAGCTTCGCTTAGCTTTCTCTTTGTTTCGCTTAGCCTCGCTTCGCTTAGCTTCGCTTTGCTTCGCTTTGCTTCGCTTAGCTTCGCTTAGCTTCTCTTAGCTTCGCTTCGCTTTGCTTAGCTTCGCCTAGCTTCGCTTAGCTTTGCTTCGCTTCGCTTTGCTAAGCTTTGCTTCGTTTCACTTTGCTTCGCTTAGCTTCGCTTCGCTTAGGTTCGCTTAGATTCGCTTCGCTTAGCTTCGCTTCGCCTCGCTTCGCTTCCCTTAGCTTCGGTTCGCTTCCCATAGCTTCGCTTAGCTTTGCTTCGCTTCGCTTAGCTTTGCTTAGCTTATCTTCGCTTCGCATACCTGCGCATAGCTTTGCTTTGCTTCTCTTAGCTTCGCTTCTTTTCGCTTCGCTTCTCTATCCTTCTCTTCACTTCGCTTAGCTTCTCTTCGCTTCGCTTAGCTTCGCTTAGCATCGCTTCGCTTCGCTTAGCTTCTCTTAGCTTTGCTTCGCTTCGCTTAGCTTTGCTTTGCTTTGCTAAGCTTTGCTTCGCTTCGTTTCTCTTCGCTTCGCTTCGCTTAGCTTCGCTTCACTTTGCATAGCTTCGCTTTGCTTCTCTTAGCTTCGCTTCTCTTAGCTTCGCTTAGCTTCGCTTCTCTTTTCTTCGTTTCTTTTAGCTTCGCTTAGCTTCGTGTTCGCTTCGCTTAGCATCGCTTCGTTTCGCTTCCATTAGCTTCGCTTAGCTTCGTGTTCCCTTCGCTTAGCTTCTCTTCACTTCGCTTTGCTTAGCTTCGCTTCGCTTTGCTTAGCTTCGCTTAGCTTCATGTTTGCTTCGCTTAGTTTCGCTTCGATTAGCTTCACTTCGCTTCGCTTAGCTTCCTGTTTGCTTCGCTTAGCCTCGCTTCGCTTCGCTTAGCTTAGCTTCGCTTTGCTTCGCTTAGCTTCGCTTAGCTTCTCTTAGCTTCGCTTCGCATTGCTTAGCTTCGCCTAGCTTTGCTTAGCTTTGCTTCGCTTCGCTTTGCTAAGCATTGCTTCGTTTCACTTTGTCTCGCTTAGCTTCGCTTCGCTTCGCTTAGCTTCGCTTCGCTTAGCTTCGCTTAGATTTGCTTAGCTTCGATTCGCTTCGCTTAGCTTCGCTTCGCTTCGCTTAGCTTCGCTTACCTTCGCTTAGCTTTGCTTAGCTTTGCTTAGCTTCGCTTTGCTTTGCTTAGCTTCGCCGAGCTTCAATTCGCTTCGCTTAGCTTCGCTTCGCTTCTCTTCGCTTCGCTTAGCTTCGCTTCGCTTCTCTTCGCTTCCCTTAGCTTCGGTTCGCTTCCCTTAGCTTCGCTTTGCTTCGCATACCTGCGCTTAGCTTCGCTTTGCTTCTCTTAGCTTCGCTTCTTTTTGCTTCGCTTCTCTATGCTTCTCTTCTCTTCGCTTAGCTTCGCTTAGCTTCGCTTAGCTTCGCTTCGCTTCGCTTAGCTTCGCTTAGCTTTGCTTTGCTTCGCTTAACTTCGCTTCGCTTCACATAGCTTCGCTTTGCTTCGCTTCGCTTCTCTTCGCTTCGCTTCTAATAGCTTCGCTTCACTTCGCATAGTTTCGCTTTTCTTCTTTTCGCTTCTCTTCGCTTCGCTTCGCTTAGCTTCGCTTCGCTTCGCTTTGCTTCCCTTAGCTTCGCTTCGCTTAGCTTCGCTTAGCTTCACTTCGCTTCGCATAGCTTTGCTTAGATAGGCTTCGCTTAGCTTCGCTTCGCTTCGCATGGCTTTGCTTAGATTCGCTTCGCTTAGCTTCGCTTAGCTTTGCTTTGCTTCGCGTAGGTTCGCTTTGCTTCGCATATCTTCGCTTCGCTTCTCTTTGCTTCGCTTCGCTTCTTTTCGCTTCTCTTCGCTTTGCTTCGCTTAGCTTCGCTTAGCCTCGCTTTGCTTCGCTTAGCTTCGCTTAGCCTCGCTTCGCTTTGCTTCGCTTAGCTTTGCTTTGCTTCGCTTCTATTAGCTTCGCTTTGCTTAGCTTCGCTTCGCTTCGCTTCCCTTAGCTTCCCTTAGCTTTGCTTCGCTTCGCATCGCTTCGCGTGATTAGATTCGCTTCGCTCAGCTTCCTTTTTGCTTCGCTTCGCTTAGCTTCCTGTTCGCTTCGCTTAGCCTCACTTTGCTTAGCTTCG